GAGGTCAAATGATCACCTGTACCCAGTCCCAGAGTGAGAGCACCTGAATGGACTCTTCTCAGAGTGAACATGTTGGTGGGATATCAGGTCCAGGGGGTTTTGTAGCATTTCCTGCAGGCTGAGCATTTAAAAGGTCTCTCATTAATGTGAGCAAGTTGATGCGACATCAGGTCCCTGGGACTTTTAAAGCACATCCCTCAGTTTGGGCATTTAAACGATCTCTCCTCCGTATGAGCACTTTGATGGGCCATCAGGTCCCCAGATGTTTTATAGTATTTTCCAGTCTCAGCATTTAAAGGGTCTCTCTTTAGTGTGAACGTGTTGATGGGACACCAAGTTCCCAGATGTTTTATAACATTTTCCACAGTCTTGGCATTTAAAAGGTCTCTCATTAATGCGAGCTAGTTGACGGGACATCAGGTTCCGGGATGTTCTGAAGGATTTTCCACAGTCTGGGCTTTGAAATGGTCTCTTGTCAGTGTGAATGAGCTGGCGTTCCAGCAGGCTAGATGACCGAGTGAATCCCTCCCGACACACTGAGCAGGTAAATGGCCTGTTACTGGTGTGACTGTGTCGTTGAGTTTCCAGCCCAGATGCGGAAATGAATTCCTCCCCACAATCCCCACATTTCCACAGTTTCACCCCCGTGTGACTGCATTTGTGGTTTGTGAGGTCTGATGATTCGCTGAAGCCTTGTCCACACACACAACACGTACACAGTTTCTCTCCAGTGTGAATGGAGCTTTTTACTTCCAGGTTTAAAATCTGATCATGTTCCATTTGTGATAAAATGGGCGACTCCATCAGATCCTGGTGTGATGGTGCGTTTGAAAATCTTCTCCTTCTAATATCCTGTGAAATTGACATCAAACAAAAAACAAGAGAGTCAGAGACAGAGACAATCTCTCACAAGACATTGGCTTCTGTGTGGAGACAGGGAATGAAGGAGAGGGATTTTGGACACCTACAACTTGACCAGAACTCTGTCAGAATCTTTTAAACACTCAGCCTCCACCACTGAGAAGGGGCAGGGTAACAGGTGGGTGTGAACACCACCACCTCCAAGTTCCCTCCAGGTCACACACCATCCAAACTTTGCTGACATCCAGTCCTGGAGGAGGAGAAATTTCCTCCCATTAACTAACTGGCAAAACCGAGGCCTTTATCTTCATTCCCCAACACAAACTCTACTGCCTCACAACTGATTCTAAACCCTCTGTGGCAACTGCTGGAGTCTGAACCAAATAAGTCATAACCATGGTGAAATATTTCATCCAGAGATGAGTTTTCAACCACATATCCCTACCATCATTGAGACTGCCTACTTCCACCGCAGTAACATTACCCGACTCCTCCTCGTCTCTGCTCATTTGCTGCTGAAACTCTC